CTAAAGTTCTGATTAGATTGGCAGACATTGTCATAAACAGCAAAGATACTTCTATCTTCAGGAAATACTATGACCATTGTTGACCTTTGTAATTTTCAGGGTACTTCATACAATCAGTCCTTGTTGCTCTAGGAGGAGAAATAAGTGCTATTACTATAACTGCCCTTTACATATTTTTAAAAGGTGTGACACTTTTATAGCTTCTCTTACTCTTTTATTTATTATTTTTTTAAAAGGAGCTCTGGTGGTGCAGTGTCTAAGGCATTAGACTGCTAACCAGAAGGCCGGCGGTTCAAACACACCAGCCACTCTATGAAAAGAAAATGGGGCAATCTACTTCCGTAAGGATTTATTGCCTCAGAAACCCAATGGGGTCACTATGAGTTGAACTCAATGGCAGTGAGTTTGGTTTTTTGGAATTTTCACTTTTTGTGGTTATTTGCTGATGTATTCCTAGATCAAATCCTCTCTTTTTCTGGATTTCTTCTTCTTCTTCTTTTTTTTTTTAAATGATACATGCACTGAGGTGAATCGGACCATTTCTAGTTTGGTGTGCACTTGAGTAAGCTTCCAGTTGAACATTCTTAGGTTTCTAAAATTAAGTTACTCCATATATAATTAAGAACATTCTCAACAGTCCTGGTTAGCAAGAGACTGGCAGATTATTCTGATAAACTATTTAGCAAACTGTGAACAGTGATTCCGTGAGAACAGACTACGTTTCTCTTTGAAATGGGTTGTCTCCATAATTTAACGTGGCAATATGATTTTCTGTTTTTAATTGCTGCAGACATTGTAGTTTGTAAAATGTAATTTTGCCTTTTGATAGCTAGATAGTTCCATGATTTTATACCATTTCTACTTTTGAACCCTTCGGTGAGAATTGTGTCTTGGTCATGCCTTTGGATGATGATGGATAAAAGCAACTGAAGGTCAGTTTTGTACCTTTTATGCAGTTTAAGACACAATGATTATCTTAGAGAAATGAAGAATTTCTCTTTATGGGGATTTCTGACCTTACCATTAATTTATTATGCTTCCTTTGTAACATTGTGCTTTGATTCCCAGAAAAGTTATACTTAACATCGACACTTAATGGTGGTCCTTTCAAATTCAGATAATTAGAACTTTGCTCCCTGTGCTGGGCCGATACCAGAATTCAGGGCGAGTTTGAACCTGATGAATACGTGATGCTTCCTTTTCCCTCCCCACTCACCATGTGCTTAATGCTCTCTGTTGTCACTTCCTCTCTTTTTCCATTTGCAGAAGTCATTTCAGAAGGAATTTATGGCAGAGTCATCTCTTAGTAAATAACAATAAGTCACAGTCTATTGCTTACAGTAACTATAGAAGCTCGGCTGCTTAAAATCACCTTTATCACTTAAAATACGTTTTCTTTTGTCTCTAAATTAGTATGAAAATACAGAGAAGGCTATTTCTTCAATTAAATGTGAACGATTAATCACTGCAGACAATTTGTTTCATAATAAAAAATAATTAAATGTCAAAAATGGACTATTCCCTACTGAAACCTAACATGCCAATGGACAAAGTGTGTGGGAAGCATAAAACCTAGTGTTATTCACCAGGGGCAGATTACCCAGTGAGCAAGGTAAGCACAGCCTTCCATGTGTGCTTCCTGCCCTCCCTGGGTATGCTGTCCCTGCCAGGGACTGTATATTTGAAAAGAGGCTTTGATTCTATAGGAAGTTGCTATAGGGTTGAGAGAGAGACAGATGCCAGCCGTACTTGGGAGCAAAATCTTGGATGTGGTAGAAAAAATGTGAACTTGTTCACTACAGATTAGCAAGTAAGCACAAGTAAGCCTGTGCTTACCTTGCTTACCGCTTGATCCAACACTGCCATTCACATACCTTCTGGCTGAGCTGACACTAAGGTTTGCACCTAGCTAAAGTCTACTAATTAAGACCGGGCATTACCCAGCCTGTCCATTCTAGTATAGTTTCACATGCAGCTTTTGGAAGATGAGACAATTTGTTCATGTCCAGAGAAGAACCTGAAGCAGAAAAATGGCAGCAGTGTGTGTATATCTGGGAGCTGTGGTGGCATGGTGCCTAAGGCATTTGACTGCTAACCAGAAGGCTGGTGGCTCAAACCCATCAGCCAATCCTCGGAAGGAAGATTCTGTAATCTACTTCTGTAGTGATACCACCTCAGAAACCCAAGCAGGGGTTTCTATGAGTCGGATCCAACTTGATGGCTGCAAGTTTTTTTTTGTTTGGGGGGGTGGGGTGGGGCGGAGCTCTGGAGGTGTAGTGCCTAAGACATTTGACTGCTGACCAGAAGGCTGGCGGTTCAAACCCCCCAGCCACTCCTCAAAAGGAAGGTTGGGCAATCTACTTCCGTAGTGATACCACCT